TAATAGAACACGAACCATTGCCCTCCTTGGACCAAAGAATGTAAATCATGAAGAAGCAATGGAAAAGTTTCTCAAAGATACTCTTTCTGTTGACTTCGAAGTAAGAAATATTTGCTTATTAATGTTAAATTTTTATTTAGTTGTTTCTATTTTTATTGTTTTGTTTTCTTAATGGGAAAAAAGTTCCAAGTTCGGGAAAATGAGAAAGGGTCAAAAGCTTCCTCACACTTTGGGTCGAAATGCTTTTTCACGTACGGCTCATGAGATGGTACAATTACACACCTATCTTGTCTGGTTAGGAATGGAGTTTCATTTCTTCTTAGTTATAGGTATTACACACCATTGTTGATTTCCTTCAAGTATTCATTACGTAATTACTGGATTTATATTGTAGAGAAAAAAGAATCCGGGCTTAAAGGGGTTAAGAACTAGAGTATGGATGCATGGACATCTTAGAAATGATGGTAAACCGATAAATGAAGCAGTCACCGCAACTTTGGCACATGTATTCTTTCAATGTATATGATTTATTATACGTATTCAAAGCTAGTATCTAATCTGAGTTCCATAAGTGCAGAAAAGGATAGAAGATTGTGCCCAATCAATTTCTGATACACCAGCAGAAAATTCCATCCACGATGATGGTGTTGCTCGAATTTTAGGTCCTGAACATCGTGAAAGAGTTAGAGGACTTGGATTTGTAGTTTCACCATCGAAAGTGGATGGACAATTCAAATTAATGGGAGAGTGAGAGAACTTGATGAAAAGGTTGGAGCACTAGAAGAAAGGTTGAAGCACTTCTTAAATTATCTCAACAGGTTATAAACTTTTATCATCATATATATACAATGATAATATAGCTTAGCATAACTCAATATGGAGAATAATTTTTTAATTTTTGTATCATTTACAGAATCAAAACAAGAATGTAGACGACTTGAGTTCACGTGCTTTTACTCAGGTTTTTGTATCTTACATATTATTTTGTATTCACTATAAACATAGAATATAGCATATACTAATTTATTTTACTTTGATTTTGTAGTCACAACAAGGAAGTGGTATCTATGGAGGGATTGCACATACGGAACATGCAAGGTTTCAACTGTTGCATTGGTGCATATTTAAAGAGGAAGAAATTGTAGTTGAAGGAAGGATTGCATCAATAGACCCAAGTGCAAAGGTCATCACATACCAATCGGACGAGATTGTTGGACTGTTTGGGTTGAGGAAGTGCATATGGGCCATTTGAACTTATGTAGACCTACTGATGAATTTTGAGTGCTTAGAGAAGCCATAGGAAGTATAGTTGTTTGGCTAAAGAGCAGTATTAGACTTATTTAACAAGGTATGTAATGCATTTCTGCATTTTTGTTTCTGTGTGTAATATCTGTACTTGCTAGGAAAAAATGGTTTGATGGATGAAAAACAAGCACACTCCGGTGTGGTTTAGAGGCTTACTTGGGTGTAAGCCTCTGGAAATTGAGGCATAAGTCCTGACCAATAGCACATAAGGTGTAAAATTTGGAGGGCAACCAAAATATGCTCAATATCTTTGTTGTTCACTTCACTCTTTCCTCTCAGAGTTTCTAGCAAATAATGTATCAGAAGATTACGAGAACCATATTTTGCACCCGTCAAATCTTTATTCAAGAAAATATTACCAACATGTTATACATATCATTTATTTCTCAACTATGTGATCCTATAGTTATATTTTTTTCATTAATTTCTGATGGAGTAAGATTCTTGCAGTCAATAAATAATGCTTTACAAAGTTAATTTCTGTGTTCTGTGGATGTACAAGTGTGCATGCACAAAGCCTTGTACAAGGAGAAATGTCCATATTTTCATCCTTCCATGTCATTGCTGATTTTCAATGTCAAGTTTTTCCAAGTTCTGTTGGGTATGGATTGTTTTAATGGATTTATTCTCTCTAAAAATAGCTTACGTGGTATCGTTTTGCTCATTAAGAACTGATTTACTACTTGCAAAATTCAAGTATAGCAGATGATTTTATAATCACCTATCATGACCGTGAA